AATAATGGCAACAAGCAAAGAATTCATCATCTTTTAGGTTCTTGAAATGGCCAAACCTGGTAGTAATAAGAATGGCATTAGAAAATCAGACATTTCCCTTTGAAATATTCCTTTTTCCACTGAATAGATACTATATGCTACAAAAGATTATGGATCTCATGAACGTAGCATTTTCTTATGTAAAGAATAACTCAGCAATAAAACTTCAGTATTGCTTACCCCACCCCCCAGCACACACAAATGCAGATCATTCTGGTCAACCTCTCTCACATACCCCCAATAACAACAAAGAAACAACTAGAAAAATGAAATGTTCTCAGAGTACTCATGTAGCTGTCTCAAATGGTCACATCAAATTATTTTTAAATTATATTTTGAAAGTAAGGCCAGTGGATTGCTTTTAGTGAGTCCTGTTTTATGTGGACCACCCTTTTAAAGACTGTTGTGTTCATTAGGCTGTAGAGTGCATTGGCAAATGTTTGACTTAAAATTCAGATCGTGGCAGCAGTGTAAGTCAGCGTGATTAATTAACAAGTCCTCTTGATCGTGCTACTCCCGATAAAAACTTTTTCATGAAAAACTATTTGATCTTTGTTTAAATTACTTTTCCTTCTAGATGTAGTTCAGTTTTCTAAGTTAACCAACACACAACGCGCAGTCAAACTACATCTGAAGTATAACGGTGTGCCAGTTCACAGTGTAGCTGGTGGAGTGAACGAATGGCAGAATTATTGTTAAGAAAATACGTACAGGGTGTGTGTAAACTCATCACCCGTCCTCGTCCGGAGGTGAGAAACTATTTAGTAGGAACGGCACCTGTGGCCCTGCCCTCGACACGCTGCACCTTCATCTTTTGTCGTGTTTCGCTAAGCTTTATTTTTTCAGGTAGGGCTGACAGGTTTGTGGCAGAACCCTACCAAAGCAAAGTAACAGATTTTTTTAAATGAAGTTTTAAAATCAGAGAAAGAAAAGAGTCTTTAGATTATATACAAAATATTGGTCATGGCACCCAAAACTGGATCAGATTTAAAATTTGGGATAAGTGAGAGGTGAGAGAAAGGAATGCATCATACAGCAACATTTTTTGGCGTTAACATGACGTGCATGAACATCGAGTAGACTCCATCTCCGAAGATCAACCTCCTAGGCACACCTAGGAGAGCATCTGTTTTTCCTGAATAGAGACAAACAAATGTTGTTAATTAATGAACTGACAGATGATTGTGGATTAGTCAGCATTGCTGAGGCTGGATGAAGAAACCTCTACCACTCTCCTCTGTGCATTCTACTTTGCTCATTGATGTTTGAGTAAACGTCAAGGAAGTCTCTAGGATCTGCTCTGTAAACTTACGCCTCAAAGACGTCTGTTCCTCATCCCCTCAGACTTAACTTTAGTTCTAGGAAAACCTTAACAATTACGGCTGCTTAAAATGAGGAACCAGAGGCCGGG